CTCCAGAATTTCTGCCTGGTTTTTATAAATGTAGATAGTCTTAATATCTGTTAACTTCTCATTTTAGTCACTTGCTTTCCTGATTTTTTTAAAAACTTTAAACAGATTTTTATTACACAAAAGTTGTCACATAATTGATTTTCTCTACTTTGTATACAATTATTCCTCTCCATAGAAAGGCTGCTTCTGAACTTTTCCTCTGTGATGGGAAGCACTAGAATCCTGACTGTAACAGAACAGTAGTAGAAATGCCTCCGTGATTAAATTGAAAGCAGTACACTGGTACATGGCTCTGGCACCCAGTTTCAGAAATATACAAATGTTTTTGTATTCAAAAATACAAAATAAATTATCTGTAGGCATGGACAATGACAGCCATTATATATTGTAACTGAAACCAGCAATGATGGGTGTGTGATTTCCTTACATCAGCCAGCCTTCTCTTCATTTCCTTCATCTGAATTCTCCAGTTACTGGGGAGGACTCTGCATGGAGCTTCCTGTCACAGTTCATCAGCAAGGGCCAAGTGCTACTCTAGGTTAGAACATGCCACCGCCCATCCCACCCATGGCAGGTTTCTTCTCCTCCTTAGGAATTTGTGTGACCACGACTTCTACCCTTGTTAACAGAGAAGCCATCCCTGCAGCATCCAGCAAAGCAGTTCTTTCAACCTTTGTTGGATCAATGATTCCTTTCTCTACCATACTGACAGGTCTCCAAGCATAGCATCATAGCCAACCTCGGAGGAGCTCTGCAGGATTTTCTCAACTATCAAAAATCCTTCTACGCCTGCATTCTTGGCAATGTTCATTGAAGGAATCTTCAGTGTTCTTTTAATAATTTCTATACCAATTTTTTGATCATTAGCAAGAGTTAAGGTGTCCAGGGTGGGAATGCACTGAAGCAGGGCACAGCCGCGCCCCCAGCACAATGTCTTCTTCCACAGCTGCCCTCGTAGCATGGAGGGCATCTGTGACCCTGTCTTTTTTCTCATTCACCTTGATACCACTTGTCCTACCAACTTTCAGCATAGCCACTCCATCTGGAAGCTTCGCCAGTCGCTTGTCAGTTTCTCCTCATATTAACTGGTTGTGATTTCTAATTGTTCAGTGATTTCTTGAATACGTTTTTCAGCTTTGTCACCTTTGCCTTTCAAAAGCATGGCGTCATCTTTGGGCACGATGACCTCTCCAACTTTTCCTAAGTCATGGGTTGGAACATTTTCAAGATTTAGGGTCAGCCCCTCTTCTCCAAACACTGCACCACTAGTAGCAACAACCATGTCTTTCAGCTGATTCTTCCTATTGTCACTGAACTTTCTTTGTGGTCAGCTACTGGGAAATTACTGTGTTCTTTACATGTTTTTTTTTAAATGTTTCTTTTTATCTTGATTTTTCACATTTCTTGGTCCCTTATGTAGGTGTCTGCATATGGGAAGTAGGGACTTACTGTTCCCTACAGATAGAGGTTCCACACCTGCTCAGCACCAGGCCAGCCTCTGAGGCCTCAGGCTCTAGACTAGTACATTTGAAGACTAAGCCTCCAAGCCTGCTTGGTTGTAGCACCAGGTAGGATCATTCAGCTATGGGCTCCAGGTCTGCCTGGTAAACGCTCACCAGTCTGGCCCCAGGGCAACCCTAGTGGCTTCAAGCTCTTGAATGGCTCCCCATCTGCTGGAGCCTATATATCCAGAATCAACCCAGTACTCCTCAGTGCTGAACCTGCCCCCATGGATCCAGGCTCCAGAACTGCCTCTGAAGAACCTGGCTGTACTCTAGGATCCAGACTGCTTTTGTACTCCTAACCTTTAGGCCAGTGGTAGTAAACCTATGGCAAATGAGTTGTTTTTCTTTTTAAGACAAAAGATGTCAGTGTATGAATTCTTTTTTCTAAACTGAAACCTCAGTACTCAGATTTATTTGCAGTACTAGCACTTTGTGATAAATAAGTGGGTTTTGGGTTGCAGTCTGGGCACTCATCTCTAAAAGGTTTACCATCACTGCTCTAGGCCAACACCTGCATACTCAGCTTCTAGATTGGCATCAGTTGACCTAGACTCCAACGTCAGTCCCAAGGGCCTTGGCCCTAATAGTTCCAGGCACCAGACCAGTTTCTATCATCCTAGGCTCAAGATCAGCTCCAGCAGATGTAGGTTTCACAACTACCTGCCCCAGCACTAGGCCAGCCTCAGGGTTCAGGGTATGCAGTCTTAATAAACTTTAAACACTTGGTTCCTAGCACAATGACTGTCATACAGACGATATGGTTAAGTATTTAAATATTTAATATAATAGGAAAAATAATGTCCTTTTGAGTGTAGGCAAAGTAGGAACAACTAAGGTTTGATACTACTCTATAACACAATGATCACCTCTCATTAATTTTCTTTTTTTTTTTTTTCTTTTATTGGTACATTGTAGGTATACAACACAATTACATTTCTCAGTGGGAATTGTACCTTTACATAATGCATCTTGGTTCTTATTTTCCCCCCATTCTTAGCCCTCCCTTCACCCCCTCCACCCTTACCTATTTACAAAGACTTTATTTCCATTTTTTCCATTTCTCAGCGTTTTTCCTTTCCCTTCTTTCCTTTCCCCTGCCCCTCCCACTACCCCTACCCCTTTGGACCTTTTCTTCCTATTTTGCATTATTGATTATTCATTCTAATCATTGGTACATTTTAGGTATACAATATAATGACATTCATCACTGGAAATTTGCACCTTTACATAGTTTCTCTTGGTTCTTATTTTTCACCCTTGCCCAGCCCTCCCTTCAACCCCTCCAGTCCTCCCTATTTACAAAGATTTTAATCCTATTTTTCCATTTTCTCATATTAATCCCATTCCTTTCTATCCTTTCCCCTAGCCCTCCCACTTCCTTCCCCTTTGCCCCTTTTCTTCCTATTTCACATTACCTATTACACATTTTAGTCCTTATTTACACTTTCAGTTTCTCACACCAGAGAAACTATTCGGTATTTATACATGTGTGTCCTATTTATTTCACTTAAGAGTATCGCCTCAATGTGCATCCACTTAGCTATAAATGACAGACATTTCTCAAAGAAGTAGAAATAGAAAATAAATACATGAAAAAATGTTCAACATCACTGGTCATTCGAGACATGCAAATGAAAACAACACTGAGATTCCACCTCACTCCAGAAAGAATGGCTGCTATCAAGAAATCAACCAATAACAAATGCTGGTGGGGCTGTGAGGAAAGAGAAACCCTGCTCCACTGCTGGTGGGAGTGCAGACTGGTGCAACCACTGTGGAGATCAGTATGGAGATACCTCAAAGAACTAGGACTGGAAGTCCCATTTGACCCCGCTATTCCACTGCTGGGGATCTTCCCCAAAGAATTAAAAGAATCATACCACAGTGATATATGTGTGCCAATGTTCATAGCAGCAGTTTGTGATAGCTAAAACTTGGAAACAGCCCAAATGCCCATCAGCTGGAGACTGGATAAAAAAATGTGTTTTTTAAAATAAAATGGAGTACTACTCAGCCATAAAAAATGAGAAATTAGAGACATTTATAGCTAAGTGGATGCACATTGAGGCGATATCTCTCATTAATTTTCATAAAAATCTCAATAGGAAAATGGTACCATCAACCATATTTTACATATGAAGAAACAAGAGTAGAGGAATTTAGTGACTTCCCCAAGGCATGACTCAAATCTAGGCCTCCTGTAAAGATTTAGGATGGACAATCTTCTCTCAAAGAATATCTCTTGAAATATTTAGAACTAGGAGTAATTTATTCTACAGGACATCAAAATATCCTCTATATGTGATTCAGTCTTTTGAGAAAAAAAGACATTTGTTATGGCTCGTATCTAGATGATCCCCCAAAGCCTCAGGTGCTCAGCTTTTTTAGAGCTGGCTGGAAATGCCTAGGGTGTGCAATACTGGGATTAAGAGTGTGTGGTACTAAATTAGTCCAATGATTGGAATCCACACAGTTTTTGGTGTGGCTGAATGGATTTACTGAAGATGGAAGCCCCTTCCTGGCTGTGAGTGGCACCACTCAAAAGGCTTGCAGCATGGGATAAAACAGAAAGGCAGGCTGCTCCTGCTTGCTGCTTTTTGGCTGCCCTGCCATGAACTGTTTCTCCTCTGTGATACCTCTCTGCCAGGCCACCTTGCCATGCAGCCAGTCGACTATGAACAGAAACCTCTACAAACTGTGAGCTGAAATAAACCTTTCTTCCCTCAACTCGTGGGTGTCTGGTATTTTGCCCCAGCAATGAAAAAGTAACTAAGACAGCATTTAAATGAATTTTTAAAAGAAAAGGTCTAATTTTAATTGCTTGAATTTGTATTGCTTAAATTTTTCATATATTAAGAAATATCTCTAGGTTTAATCACTGCATTTAACATCTCCAAAAGCTGATCAAAATTCAGTATTTGTAGTAGTTGCAAGTCTTATATGTTTATTAATACTATAAATATCTGAGAATAGATTCAGAAAGCTAACCTATTCTTAGTAAGGTTTATAGCTGTAAACCATCAGAAATGCCTAGTAATAGCAAACTTGTGGGTCACATACACATACTCCTAATATTCTTGCTAGATGCAGTGATAGGTAATGGCACTATTACTGATTTTCCTTAACCTGATTATAATCCATTTTCTTTGATGTGTGCTGGCAAAGACCAAACTTGGTACAAAGCTAATTTCTCACATGATACCATTTTTTCCCAGGGATTAGTTCCTACACATTAATCACCAATTGCCCAAGCATTACCATTAATCGGAATCACCTAATACCGGTATTTCTACATGGACCTATCATAATTCTCAGCCATTTGCATCATGCTCTGTAGTGAAACAAGAGTAGGAATCATTGCAACCTCTTCCATCCAGCTAACAAAGTGTTGCTTTTACAACTCAGGACTATTTTTAAATATTCAAACAATTGTTTTAAACTCAATTTTGAGAAACATTATCAGTAATTAAAAAAAAGAGCAAAATGAATACTTACAATACATCATTAAAGTCTCCAAAAACATACATGTGCCTAAAGCTGTCAATAGCTATAACAGGGCAATCTGCTGGAGTTTTCTGTATATGCAGAAGAGGATGTCTAAATTTGTCACAATCTGCATGTAAAAAGTTTATTGTACCTTTAAAAGAAATAAAATTTTGAGAAATACATTAGAATTTTCTTGATTGTATTCTCTTAACATTTTAAACTTACAAAAAAAATGACATTATAAATAAGAACCCCACCCACATTCATTAGAGTTATATAGCCTAAAAAACTAAAACCTAAATATTATTAATTAAAAGAAACAGGAGTTTATGGGCCAGGGATTTAGCTCAGTGGTTTTGCCACCTGCTGCGCAAGTGCAAGGACCAGAGTTCGATCCTCCGTACCAAAAAAAAAAAAGAAACAGGAGTTTAGTTCTCAAAGCAGAGGGTAAATTTCCTTAGAAATTACAGGAAAACTCAAGTTTGAATGCTATGAATCTTTTATTTTCTTTAAATGGGCAATCATGTTATGCAAGTTAGCCAGGTTTAGGGTAGCAAATTCCTGAAACTGATGAGGTATGAGCTATTCCCATGAGACCATCCTCATTCTAGCTCATCACAGCTTGTATTGATTGCTTTTTTATCTAATTTAACCCAAAAAATATTTACAAAGTGACTAAAAAGAGAGGTTCTATACAATGCCATTAGTTTATTTTGTTTGACAAGAATTCTTCCCTAAGTAAAAAGGGGAAGCAGTTGACACTCCAAATTATGTTTAAATACTTTATAGAATCTACAGACAGCTACTAAACTTTCTTTCATTTATAAATAAATGTGAATCAGATTATGTAAGTTCTCTCAGCAGCATCTCTGGGAATGTCTACCAAAAAAGGTGTCAGCCAAGCATCAAGATGCTGGGAGGAAGTGCTCCAAACTAATAATGTTCACCCATGACCCTACTTCTCATGCTATTTGATTTTTCTCTCTAAAACAGTCATGGTGCAGAAAACAACAAAAAACACCCCTTCTTAGTATGTCTTCTAAGGCCTCCTCACTTTCACATTTGAAGATAAATGTTAAAATAACTTGTTGAACTTTTAACCCAAATCTCTTTATGTGGATACAAATGTAACAGGAGGGGAGAGGGAGAAGGAGAAAAAGAAAGGATGAAAATAAACACCTTAATCTGTCTACCTTTTTCACTTATTAATTGCCGGGCGACTTCATTCTGGAATATTTCCAAACTTTCTGTATCCTCTTTCATGTGGAAGAGTATGAGAAAAGGCAGTCCTTCTTCTGTCAATTCCTGCAGAGAGAAGCATTTGATGAGAATTACCAGGCCTCTCCATTTAATTTCAGCTATTTTCTAAGTAGCAATAATTGTGGCCCCAACTGATGTAAGGCAGCAGTTGCAACACTCCAGGAAAAAGGTCCAATGGTGTAAACAGTAGCCAAGAATGAATTCACTTTCCTTTCTACCCCAGGACCCTTTTTCCCTACTCTGCTGCAGGAACTGATCAACTTTAAAGGAACCACTGGGCTTAAATGTTAGCTAGTACTGGACATGAAGCTTCAGGGACAGCCCAAAGAGGCCCTCAAATTTACAGCTGACCAAAGAAGAAACTATGCCAGCCTTTTATGAAGGTATTAAGAGTGGGGTAAACATGATCAGTATTTCCAGTCTTTACAGGAAAAAGTAAAAAATTGAGTGTTCCAGCAATAGATAAATCTGATTTGTAAATTTATGCTTACTTTATTATAAAAATAATTCTTACATAAGACCTACCTAAAGCCAAAGTGTTTTGTTCAGAGTAAAAGACAAAAATATCATAATATAGTCATTTTTAACCAACACACAATTTATCAACACTATTAACAAATACCTGCCTCTACCTATGTGTAGTTTTACATGCATACTACACACACACATATATGAGAGCCTTATAAAATACTCTACTAAAATTTTATTATTATTGTTGAATACAAGAAATGTAATGGGTAGACAGCAGATTTTAATCATTTATTCTCCTTAACAAATGCTAAGTTCTGGCTTATAAGAAAAAGTCCAAAAAGAGCTTTCACAAAGCACAATTACTTCCTCGCACAATCCTTTCTAAGGATCCCTGTAACTTGGTAACTACTTCAACATAAAGTAGAAATGTCCTTTTTATCCTAAAAACAAACAAATGAGACCTATCTATAGGATGAAAATTTTCTTCTGGTTCCTATCTCTTTGTTTTAGTCTGTTTCCCTTGTACACAGGATAAATTATTAAGTTTATCACATTTATCTTTTCTCTGAGATATAATTTATATAACATAAAAATTATCATTTTAGATATACAATGAGGTAGTTACTATATTCTCAAAGCTGTGCAAATATCACTATTAACTCCAGAACATTTTCAGCACTCTGGAAAGAAACCTGTACCCATTAGCAGTCAACTGCCACCTTACCTACCCTGAGCCCCTGGCATCACAGTAATTCTTCTGCTAAGCTAATTTAAAATTTATTCTTCATAGTTTATCTCTTGGGCTCACATTTTTTCTTTCTCCTACAGATTTACTGATGCTACTCCTCATGATTCTGTCGTTGGGCTTCTCTGCTCCAGCCTGTCAACCATATCCAATGCAATAACTTTAATTACCAGTTTTAACTGGTCCCTTAGCTATATATACAAGCCCAGCTCCAGTTCAGAATCCAAGCCTAGGTTTCCAACTATCTGCTTAATATCTATCACAGTCTAATCAATACCTTAAGTACCCAAGACAAACACAGTCTCCTCCTCCAACTTCCCCATTTTTTTACTTCTATTTTTCTGTTAAGCACTTTGTTTCAGGTTGTCATGTCTCTCCTTAAAAGCATTCTGATTCCACCCCATCTCTAGAAGTACAAATGAATTCTTTAAACTCTAAGAACATATTATCAGCGTCCCTCAAGTGGTATAGGTTATATCTTCAGTTATGCTATCTGTGCACAAGAAATACTACACTGAAAACCTCTTGAAGACATAACTTTTATATTATTCCGTTCCTTGTTCACAGACTTTTGTACACAATGATATGCAATCAACATATGACAAAAAATGAAACAAATGTTACTGAATAAATATTAATTGGGAAAGAAGACTCAGCAGTCACCTCTGAGGATATTTAGGAGGTAGGAAATTTAAGATAAAAGCACATAACATTATTTTATTAGACTCAATAGAAGTACAGGCGAACATACAACTACAAAGAAAACAACAATGAAGAGATTAGTAATTTGAAACTATACATGTTGATTAATTTACTAAGGTTAAAAAAATTCACTGGTAATTTATGCTTCCCGGGCTGCCAAGTTTACCTTATCTGCCAGCATATTCTCTACCAAGCAAGTATTAAAAGATTAAGGAAAAGGAAATAAAAACAACCAGATTTAATCAAAACAAATCTTTCCCTATACACTAGTTTAAACCATTTATGGGTTTAAATATATAAATATATAAATATATATATAAATATATAAATATATAATAAAATCTCAAAAATTATTAAATGTGTCAACTAGTACATAAGGCAGGGGGAAGATGCTGTTTAATTAAGATTTTCCAGGTTTAAATCTTTAAAGTATGTTTTAAAAACTATTCTTGCAAGAATTGCTAAAGAAGGGGAATAATATAACAAACTATTAAATCTTTTTGAGTCTCTGAGAACTAAATGAACTAATGTAATAAAGTAATATAAGTAATTCAGTCAAACATACATTAAGCCTAAAGAAGCAGGAAAAGAATCAGGGACATTGATTTGTTTGATAAAGCATAAGCAGAAAGAAACTAATCTACTCTCATTCAGAATCAATAAGATCAAAGTGAAAAAAAATTTAAGAATAACGAAGTACTTTTTAAAAATATTTCTTTTAGGACAGACAGGAACTCAGAAAAAACTTTTAGTGCCAAAGGATTATTCGCTGTAACTAAAATCTGCAAAGCATTGCTTCCAAAGCACATCCACTTAAACAAGGATTCTCAACCAAGAGGTGAGGATCAGATTCACCTCAGAGGCATTTTCAAACTCATTTTCACAGGTCTAGTAAATTACTACTTTTAACCAGAAATGCAACAGAAGTGTTATTATACAGCAAAAGAGGAGAATCAATGGCTAGTTTTATGAAAATGGCTATGATATACATCTGTTCACTGGATGATTTTTACTACTGATAAATGCATTAAAGTAGCACGATGGGCAGACAAAGCTTGTTCTTTTATATATGTGAATTTAAAATAATACCACACACTAAAGAGCCCTTACCTCTCCATTTTCAAATGTTATTTCTCGGACAAGAGGAACACATTTATCTTGAATCCAATTGTAAGTCAAGTCAAAATTTGTCATAGATCCCAAATACACCATATCAGGAGCAGAACGCTGTCATAAAACAGGAAAAATAAATTAAACAAATCTAACCTGCCCTGGCAAAAGTATATTTTAAAATTCATCTTGGAACCCACAAAATCTACAGGTGATATAAAACATGGAACTTCTGAGAAAAAAGGTTGTAGTTTAAAGGTAACTGTATATGAGGAACCTGACACTAAACATGTGACATATAAACCTTCTGCATTTCCTTGGATTTGGCCAATTAACTATTTATCAGTATCTTCACCAAAAACAGGCAGACACTGTAAAATGAAAAGTCATCCAAATGAATAAATTAAGCTATTCCTTACAGTTGAAGATTTTAAAAGAAAATTGAGAGTGAAAAATGCTTGAAAAAGACAAAACGCTATATAGAGAGATCTGTCATGGGTGTCTCTAATATTAATTACCTACAGATTAGTTCCCACATTCACTAAAAGCAACTACTACTGCTACCATCCTAGAGCAGTACACATAGAGGGTGGCAGATTTGACATTCAAATCCTGATGGTCTAATGCCAGAGCTCATGCTCCTAAGGACATTACACTGGGAGACAGTGTACTGGATTCTGATAATTTAGGGATGCTAATACTATATAAGCTTCTATTAAAGAAATGTACTTACAGAAAAATACAGGCAAATACCCATCTGCTATGGTTTGAATATGGTTTGTAAGTGTCGCCCAAGAGTATATGTGCTGGAAGAGTGGTCTTGTGTGGCAATATGACAGCTGGCAGAACCTTTAACAGGTGGAGTGTAATTAAGTTACTGGGGGTGCTGCCCTCAAAAGTGATCAATGTAGTTCTTACAAGAGTTGAGTTGTTATTAAAAAAAAAGAAAGTAAGATTGGCCCTTCCCTAGTCTCTGGTTTCCTATCTTAGCTGTGACCCCTTCTGCATTTGAATATTCCCCTCTCTGCTCCTCCATCATAATGTGATGGCCATGGACCACTAACACATTTTTAAAATTTGGCTCCCAGATTGAATGCAAAACAGAGAGGAGGAAAAAGCCTGAGCGCCTGGGATTAGAGAGATCACTAATCCCACCTTGGTCACTAAATGAGTGTGTTACTTTAGATATGGCCCGGCTTTCACTCTGAAATATTTGGATTAGCATTAAATGATGCTTCAAAGTTCCTTTAGTTTTATGAGTCTGTAAAAATCAAAACATATAAAACTATACATTATACTATACATTTATTTAAATATCCTATTATAAACTGGGGGCAGTGGTGCATGTCTGTAATCCCAGCTACTCAGAAGGCTGAGACAGCAGGATTGTAAATTTAAGGCCAGCCTGGGTAATTTAGTGAGATCCTGTCTCAAAATAAAATTCAAAGAGCTGAAAATGCAGCTCAGTGATACAGTACTTGCCCAGTTAGCCCTGGGTTTAATGCCCAGTACTGTAAAAACATCTTATTATACCCACTGAAAAATAGTGACTTACCCCTGGTGGCTTGTAGATTACATTGTCTCCACTATATCGTTCTGGTTTTGAAACATCCCTAACCAAAAGAGAAAAACAGTAATAATATTTTTAAAAGAAAAACTCTATCAGGAGGCAGAGGCAGGAGGATCACTGTGAGTTCGAAGCCATCCTGGGCTACATAGTGGGTTCAAGCCTAGCCTGAACTACATAGTGAGACCCTGTCTCAAGAAAACAAAACAAAAAACTCCCACTACTAGTAATGTACATGAAGAAAGCAGAACAAATTAATTATTTTACAATGTATGAATTATAAAGACTTGAAATACTTGCCCATCATCTTTCCCATTTATAAGACTACGCAATAGTAAGAAAATTATTTAAAGGAAAAATTTACTATGAAGCAGATTTTTAAAGGAAAATTTTAGTTAGCTGTTTTTGTGACTAGCATTTTGTAAGTTGGAACTGGCAGTTTTAGCACTAAAGCTGTATTAATCCCAGACTGCATTTCAACTATGGATCAAAGACATCAATTTGGTCACACAGACAAATATATGGAGAGTCTGCCACAAAAAATGTGTACACACTTCAGGAAAAGAAAAACCTGTGCAATTTTAATACTAAATTTGTTAGGACATCATGAGATTAATACAAGTTACCTTTGGCCTCTACAATTACAAGAGGTGCTCAGAGTGGTGGCCATTAGCTTCGAGACATTTATTATTTCACACTCAACCATGAATTTTCTATTTCTTTTTAAAATGAATACTTCTAAAAAGCAGATGAATTAAAATAACCTACATCATAAAAATAGAGTTCATAGAAAAAGCATTTTTTTGTTAATTTGTCCATGATTGTTTCCTGTCTACTACAGATTCTAGAATATAACAGGTGCGCAATAAATATTTGGTAAGAGAATTCTACAACAAATTCTAAGTTAAATGGCTTTCTCTTTCTTTAAATAATTTTTAGATTAACTGAACACAGATTTATTTCTGGTTTCTGACTATAGCAGCCCAGGAGAGAAGAATGAAGGTGCCTAGATTGATGATAGTGGGAACAGAAAGGAAGAACAGCCTATTTCCTGTGAGCTTCCTTTGTACCATGTATGTTCTTGGCACTGGATATTTTACAGTGAACAAAACTGACAAAATCCTCAATCTCATGGAACTTATGTTCGGGTGAGGAAAGACTGACAGGTGATTAGATATATTGGGGTGGTTAAAAACTGTTACAAAGAAAAATAAGTGGAATAAGTAAAAAAAGAACAATATGGTAAATGATGGTAATGCTACCCTACATAAGATCATCAGCAAAGATTCCTGACAACAATGACCTCTGGGAGAGGCACTTTCAGAACAAGGAGCAGCAAGGACAAAGGCTCTGTGGCAGAAGCGTGTTTGGAGTATTTGAGGAGCAGCAAGGTGGCCTGTGTGATTAAAGAGCAGTGATTGGAGTGAAGGGAGCTCTGCAATCTACTCTGTACAGTGATCTTCAAAACACACCAATAATGCTTAAAATGAAACATGCCAAGAACAAAATCTACAAAAGCATTAAAGCAAGGACAAAGGACAAAAGTCACAAGTGGAGAAGGATACACTGTGTCAGATATCTGGGGCCCTACTTACGACAGCTGAGTGTTTTAACTATTATGGGCCAAAAATAAAAGAGAAATAACACTGCATGAAAGTCAAAAGATGGTTGAGATAACTTCCAATGACAAGCAGGCCAAGGATATAACCAAAGAATGATTCACTTTGGAGAGAAAAAGAACACAAAGGAGAGAAAGAGAGATGAGGAATGAACCATAGGGATTCAATTTAGTGTTGAGACAGCAAAAAAAGAAAAGGGTAGGTGGGTGGGTGTTACTTGCTTTGGAAAAACTGAAGAGGGTCAAGATTGAAAAAGGCCACTGGATTAGGTAATTGAGTCATTTTGTGACTGCAGAGACAGAGATAACACTCAGCTGGATGGAGGTGAAAGTCAGTCTCCAAGTGGTTAAGGTTTTTTAACCAGTTAAAAGAGCTTAAGAAAAATCAAGGTAGCCAGGCATAAATTAATCTTTGAAAATTGTAGGAATATAAAAGAGGTATAAGTTTATAGCTTAAGAGATAAATGTGGTCCAGCAAGCATAGTGGCACATGCCTGTAACCCCAGCTACTTGGAGAATGAGGCAGGAGGATCTTACAAGCACAAGGCCAGTGGAGGCAATTTAGCAAGACCCTGTCTCAAAATAATTTTTTTTTTTTTGGTACCAGGAATATTGAACTCGGGTCCTTGCGCTTGTGCAGCAGGCAGCAAAACCACTGAGCTAAATCCCCAGCCAAAATAATATTTTTAGAGAAGGCTGAGTATGTAGCTCAGTCACTTCCTTGGTTCAATGGGGGGGTGGGGGGGGGTGCGCGAGAGGGAAAGACATACACGAAGAGACTGAGACTGACAGACAGAGAGAGATGGGGAGAGGGAGAAAGTGGTGAATCAGGAAAGAAAGAAGTATGCTTCAGAAAAGGAAAGCAATTTTTAAAAAGGTCAGGGTGACAACATAAGAAAGCAGGGACAACTGACAGATCAAAGTCCCAAACACAAGGACATCAGTGAAGAAGTTAACCTTACAAAAGAGCATTAGTGAGCTGAGATGTAGCTCACTGGGAGAGCCTGTGCTTAGCCAAGGCTTTCATCACCAGCACCTCTCTCCCAAAAGGAGACTTGTTCCTATGCGAGAAGGAAGATATATGAAAACATGCTGGACAGATAAAAAGAAGTAAAGATACAAAGCCTGTGCTTCTCAACAAGAATGACAGTATGCTGCTTCAGTCTGGTACCTCCCTTGCAGGTTAGCAATTTACCTGGCATGGGGTGTCAGCAAATAAAAGCATGCATGAATGAGCTCACTGTTAACTGGTCCATTCTTCTTCTACAGAGTATACTATAGAAGAAAGAATAAACAGACTTTTAAGCCCTTATAAAGTACTTAAGAGGTAGGTATAGAGACTGGTCAGTGACTTTAGGAGAACTGAGATAATATTTGGAGATCATCTTCAGAAAATGACCAAAAACAAAGAACTTAACATGGCAGCCAAGTTGGCTCATTAACATTAACATACTCTCAATTAAAATACTCACCCAAATGCAGAAAGGAAGGCACAATCGTCGTGCAAAATACTTGCTACCCTTTCAAAAACTTTATAGTCAGCTGAATCCTTTTGTTCAAAAAATCCAATGATATTTCTTTTGCTGCGCTGTTAAAAAAGTACCCAATTATTTTGCAAACATATATCGTTCTATAAGGGTGTTAGCATGTTTATCACTCATTCTGGTACCCACACAGCTCCAATGTTGTTCAATTATCTGTGACTGAAGCGTAACTATAAATTCATATTTAGTTTTAAACACCTAGTACAAAACTACTAAAAATTACAATGAGTTGTAAATAATTTTAACTACAATAAAACTTAACTATACACATTTCCTTGTAGCATTTTATTTTAAAATTTCAATAAATAAAACTATTTAATCAATGAAAATATTTTCCTAAATAAGGCAACTAATTCTAAAATTTGCAAAATAATACATCAGCTCATTACTTCTGACTGTTCATAGAGACTCCTCCATGGGTCTCTCACACTCCTACTCATCTGACTGTATATGCCAAAAATGGAAGACCCTGCGCCCACTCTCCACCCAGGCCATTTCTCAGAGCTGTGCTTGGAATAAGAAACACTGAGACGTGAGGTAATATCTTCATCCAAGACAAAAAACAGAGTTACAGCTTGCTCTGAAATGTTCCCCTTCTGTAACAGAACACAAAGCATGTGCATCTCTCTATCTGGGCCTTCTGTATTACCTCCATAGAATTTGGGGGAAAGAAAACAAATGCAAGAATGCTCACATTGCTTGCTGTAATATGACCAATAAAGTCCTTTGTCTCTGACCCAGGAGTCTTGTGTCTTCTGAAAGCAACTATGAAATGGTTACTAGATAATTTATTAGCATGTAGGTAAGGTAAAATCTGGGACTGTGGTAAAACTAAATTCAATTGTTTTTGCTTTTGTTTCTGTGTGCTATTTTTAAAACACTAGGCGGTGTGATCAAAATATATGGTGAATGTTAAAATTTTTTAAAAATTATACTAAAAGATACATTGCCATTAATCCCTCCCAAAATACTCCCCCCCCATTCAAACACTCTCGTCCCATCATTCTTGCCACTTTCTGAAGCAGTTTTGAAAGTCCTCTTTCATGAGTGTCTTTGCAAGGTAAAGGCATAGCTCTGACTCCAGGAGACATCTGGCTGCCCCCAAAGTCAGAATCACAGTGATAGGTAAACACTGTGAATCAATTCAGGACATTGAGGGAGCCCAACTGAAGATATGAAAGAGCACAACTAAAAACACAAAACAGGACTTTTAGAACTGCCTCAGAAAGTGGCAAAAACAATGGATTACCAATGTTTGAAGACAGGGAGTAATGGCAATGTGTCTTTTTTTGTAATAATTTTAATTTTTGAACATCCACCGTATTTTTTAACCATATGATACAATTAGTGTGCAGAGAGTGGTTTGCCAAACTTATTAATAGGGGGCTTTTTTAGAGGACATTAAACCTTACATAAAAAGCTGATTAATGAGTAACTAAAGCTGATGCTCTACAGGTCACCACTAAGGAAGATGTGGAAACTGGTTATATATGCTTGATTTTTATTCTATTTATAATCCAGGTTTCCCTTTGTCCTCAATTTTTTCAACTTTACTTTATGCTACATATTCGATACAATAAAACATTAGCATTTCCCTTGAAAATTCAAGAAAAATTCAACTCCAAGTATGTACATGTCAAACCTATTGCAACAACCTAGAAGTGAATGTCCAGATTCTTTGTATTAGAATTTATTTACATTAATTAAATCGGCAATGTTCTTTCTATCTATCCAAAGTTAACTTACATCAAGAGTGGTGATTTCTTCTAAGTTCTGCATTTCTTGAACGGGGTCACTTTTTTGTTGCCTGATGTAATCTGCAAGTGCTTTCACTGATCGCTGACCCCTGTATTCTCTCTTCATCATCATCCCGTTACGAAACAATTTGAGGGTTGGGTATTTGCTTATCCTGTATCTCTGGGCTATATCAGCTAAAAGAGTAGTAATTTTTAAAAATTAACTTTACTTCATACTTGGTCAAGGTCAGCACATTAGTCAAATACAAAGAAGCTTACAATTACTTAGTGAGGTAGTGACACTTTTTAAAAATAATTATTTATTTATTTTGGTTCATGTCATTCTTTTTCAGTGAGAGAGAGAGAAAATAAATTAGTCATGACTTGAGTTTATATTGGTTAAAAAGCCAGGCTCTGGGCTCTGATTGCCTGGGTTTAAATCTTAAATTTGTCACTTATTGGCAGCATTAACTTATAAATTACATAAACTATCTGTGCCCTAGTTTTTCATCTATTACAATAAGGATAATAATTTCTATCACATAAAGTTGTTTTAAAGATTAAATGAAGCCAGGCATGGTAGCACACACCTATGATGCCAGCACTCAGGAGGCTGAGGCAGGAGGATTGCCAAGAGTTTGAGGCCAGCCTGGGCTATTTAGTGAGTTCAAGGCCAGCCTGAACTACAGAGTGAGACCCTGTCTCAAAAATATTTTAAAAAGGGCTGGGGATTTAGCTCAGTGGTTCCACCGCCTGCCTCTCAAGTACAAGGTCCCAAGTTTAATTCCCAGTACAAAAAAATTTTTTTTTAAATTACCTTTTGAGGAATGATACAAAATAAAATATAAAACAATGACCAACAGCAGCATATAAACTAGGGGAAAGGGAGTAAGCAGGAGGTAAATTACATTAAATACTCTAAGGCCTTTGTACTACAGTCAGAGAATACAGTATTAAAGGTATATTAGAGGTCAAGGATGGAATATGGGTTCTCAGAGAGGAGTGGGAGAAAAGTCTATATAACTAAGCTTACACAATAGTCTAGTAAACTTGATGGAAAATTAATAAAGAGGAAATCACTGATTACTAAAATTCTTCAAGCAGAAGCAAATAAGAGTAATAAAGGGAACCACTTGTCATATGTGAGATTGAGAAGAATGCTTCATTGAAAGTGATGCTTTATTGAACTTGTCATATATGAGATTAAGAAGAATGCTTTAGTCAACAAATATTAATACATCTTCATTTATATACATATAGTTAACATAGACAATAATCTGGTTTAGGAGTTGAAACTTCCTTAAAACAGATGACTAGTAGATATATCTTCGTTTTTTAACCTACTAGATCATAATAAGATAATTATGGGATTGAGGTGCTATAAGGATGATGAGCCCTATCACCTAAGCAAAGAATCGATAAGATTAAATTGGCACTAGAAATTGGCACCATAATATATAGAAGATTTTTAAGTTACAGGGGCAATGGAAATAAGGCAAAGGCCACATGGCTCGGGCTTACTCTTACAAGAAAACCAACCCAAAGAAATAAATAAAAAGAAAATAAGGAACTTTACTTTCCCAAGCACACCGAACACCAAAACATATTATAAAATAAACTTTTACAGTTATGTATATATAAATTTAAAAGCTTTCAATAAAATACTGTTAAAATTAAGTTAAATAATTCCACTGGTCAATGTACCAATGTTATGGTCCATACAACAGAAAATGTTTTTAAAAGTTATTATTTTCCCAAGTGTCTGTCAATAGGAGGTCAATTTAATAAAGTATATTGCAACCATTCAATTAAACACTAGGCTTTTACATGAAAGAGTGAAAAAGATCTCTGTATCTTTGCTGTTAAAGTGCAATATTAAAAATAGAGTACACTGTTGAAATAATGTGTTGGGGACAATGTACAAAAAGGGAATCCTAGCATACTTTTGGTGGAAATATAAATTAGTAAGGTCAAGGCTGGGGATTTAGCTCAGTGGTTCCGCCGCCTGCCTCATAAGCACAAGGTCCCGAGTTCAGTCCACGGTACCAAAAAAAAAAAAAAAATTAGTAAAGCCATTATGGAAAACATTATGGAGATTTCTCAAAAAATTAAAAAAGAACGATCACATAATAGGGTAATCCCATTGCTGGGTATAGATCTGGAGTGGTCTGGATCTGGAACATCCCCCAAGGGTTCCTGTTTTATTTATTTTATGTTTTTGGTACTGGGGATCGAACCCGGGACCTCACACTTGCAAAGCAGGCGCCAGAACCACTGAGCTAAATCCCTGGCCCTACGGCTCCTGTTTTAAATAAAGACTTGGTATCCAGTGCAGCAATGTTCAGAGGTGGGGCTTTGGAGAAGTAATTGGGTCATAAGGGCGGTAACCTCATCAGTAGATTAATCTATTGATGAATTCATAATATTATGGCATTATTGGGAGGTGATGAAAACTTTTAAAGGTGAATCCTAGTTGGAGGAAGTGGGTCACTGGGGGTATGGAAAGGTATATCTTGTCCTTGGCCTGCCTTTCTCCACCCCTCCACTTCCCTCTTCCTCTCCCTCTCCCTCACTCTACCTCCTCCACCACACCAATCTGCCAGGTTTCTGCCTTGCCACAGACCTAAAAGCAAAGGAGCCAATTGATTATGAACTAAAACCTCTGAAACCATGAATCAAAATAAACTTTCCCCCCTTTTTTATTCTCAGATATTTATTTTGGCACACAAATAACACAATATCCAAAGGATATAAAATCTGTATGTCAAAAAAGCTATCATCCTGTACTTATAGTAGCACTATTCACAAAAGATATGAAATCAATGTAAATGTCCACCATCAAATGAATGGATAAAGAAAATATGATCCATATACACAAACATTATTTAATCATGAAGCAATGAAATTCTGCCATTTGTTACAAGTGAATAAACCTGGAGGGTATTATGCTAAGTGAAAGACAAATACTGCATGATCTCATTCCTATGTGGAATCTAAAAAAAGCTGATCTCATAGAAATAGAGAATATAATGGTGACTTCCAGAGGCCAAAGTGGTTGGGGGTAAAGGGGCAATGGGAAGATGTCAAAGGGTACAAAACTGAAATTAGATAGGAAAAACAAGCTTCAGGAATGTACAGCATGAGAGGTGTGGTGGCACACACCTGAAATCTCAGCACTTGGGAGGACACCCGTGAGTTCAAGGCCAGCTTGGGCTACATAGTGACCTCCAGAACAGCCTGAATCACATAGTGAGACCTTGTTTCAAACAAACAGACAAACAAACAAACAAACATGTACAGCAAAGCGACTGTAGTTAATGATGATATATCAAAAAGTATACAGAGAATGGATGGGTGTTACATGTCTCTACCATAAAAATGGTAACTATGGGAGGTAGTATAGCTATTAATTAGCTAGATTTAACCATTCAACAATATACACTTCAAAACATGTTGTATGTGATTTAAAATGTTAATTTTGAAAAAAATTTTTAAATGAAGTGATTAAAATCCTACAGTATCTATAATATGAATTGGAAGCAACAGCACAAACTTTGTGTGTATGTGTGGGGGGGTGATATTGGGAAACTGAACCCAGGGCCCTGCATATGCTAGGCAAGTATTCTACCACTGAGCTGCATACTCAGCTTAATATAAACTTTTAATGTGTTTCTGTTTCAAAAATGTACATCTAAACTCTTCACCTTGGTGGTTTTTATCAATAACTTAATGGCAGTAAGTATGAGGCTTTAAATAAGATAGAAAAGTTTCATGAAAATACAACCTACCAAAACTGACACTAGAAAACATAAACAGTCCTAAAATTATTATAGAAACTCAATTTATAATTCAAAGCCTCCCACAAAAACTCCATTCCCACTAGTTTTATGAATTGAACATAGTATTTCTTAAAATATCTGGGAGGGAAAATAAGAAAAAAGAAAAAAGTTTATGCTAATCTTAACGGCATAGATGCAAAACTATAAAAGAAAATATTAATAAATAAGAATAATATATCATGATTTAGCCTAGCTACAGTTTAGATCAATATTTGAAAACCAGTTAGTATAATGCACAACTTTAACAGAATAAAAAAATTCTATTACCTCTAAAGAAGCAGAAATACACTTCATAAAATTCAACATCAATTCATGCCTAAACACTCGTAGCAAACCAAATCAAAATTTTCTTAATCTGATAAAGGATATTTAAATAGATACCACATAACTTGACAGTGAAACACTGCTAGTATTAAGAAAGAAATAAGGGCCAGGGGTTTAGCTCAGTGGTTCTGCTGCCTGCCTCGCAAGCTCAAGGACCTGAGTTCGATCTCCAGTAGAAAGAAAGAAAGGAAAGAAAGGAAAGAAAGAAGGAAAGAAGGAAAGAAAGAAGACAGACAGACTGACAGAAAGCAAGCAAGCAAGCAAGCATTCTGGTATGCTGAAATAGGAGGATCACAAGTTTGAGCCCAGCCTTGGCAACTCAGCAAGACCCTGTCTCAACATAAAAAATAAAAAAAGGCTAGAAATGTAACTCAGTGCAAAGGTTCACTGAGGTTACTGATTCAATCACCAGTAGTCCCTCCCCATAAAAAAGAAAAAGAAAACAAATGATGCCTGCTATTATATCTATGTAAAACTGAAATGGAGTTCTTAGGGTGATAAGAAAAAATAGGTGCATACAGGGGAAAAATTAAGAATGTCATTATTTTCAGATACTTTTACTGAGTTCACAGAAAACCTAAGAAGGAATCCACAAGAGGATTTCTACTTTCTAAGCAGGATGTAGGAAGGAGAAATCTACTACTTCTGCAACTATGAAAAATTGAATTTTTTTAACTCTATATTTTAAAAATGTAACTATAATGCAAGAAGAAAGAAATAGGTAAAGCTTTGCCCTGCCACCTGGGCTAGGATGGTAGACTGAAAAGGACCTCAAACACAAAACAGGTTTCTCCAAAGGACATTTACTGAATGTTGAGGGGTAACACAGAAAGTAGAGTATGGGTGGGGACAAAAAGAAAAATAATAGAATCTTCTCTGGCCTTGTGATGCTTCAGAGAGACTTGAGCTACAAATGTATACTTGTTGAAAAGCCTGCAATTCTGCATGCGGACTACACATAGCCAAGATATAGTACCTGCCAGATTCTGAAACTACACAGGTCAGGGCCTGGATGTGGAAGACCACGAATTT